TATATAGCTAAAATCAATATTTAAAATTTTATTAAAAAAATTTAAAATTTAAAAAAGTTTGCAGACAAATTTGGCTGTAAAACAATTTAAGAGATATATTTGTTTAGATGCTTAATTGAAACCTATAACTGGTTAGAGTATCTAAGAATTAAAAAAGGCAAGAATTCTCGATTAATAGACTTAATAAATTTCAACAAAGCTGAGAAAAGCAAAAAGGTATTAATTAAACAAGAATATGGCATAGCAGATTATAGCATCGAAGAGAAATTAAAGCTGCATTAGCCTAAAACTAAGATTTCAATAAGAGAAGTGCAAGCCAAGCAGAGAAAAAAAGGGATGCCAAGAAGGAAAAAGAAAATAATAACTCAGCTAAAATTACAGTTATTTCAATAGTACAAGACACAAAACTCACGTTTAGTGATGAGATAAACATAGAAGCCAGAACGAATGTGAGAAAGTATATACTAAAGAAACTCCAAGAAGTAGGCAAAAAGACACAAAAGCTTCAAAAATATAGTATACTCTATAGGACATACTAGCAGAAGTCAAGACAATAAGATGTCTGCATTTCTATAGTCAAGTTCAATTCAAACACTGAGAATCACTAGGATCAAAGAAAGCTGTCTCATTCAATATAATCTTTTGAAATAAGAGAAGAAAAGCTCTATTTACCAAAGCTTGGGCTATACACTTCAAAGAGAGGAAAATACTAAGACTCTCTGAAGGAGTATTTGACAGAAGTATTTTAGACGGAAGAGAAAAATACAAAGCGATATTGAAAAATATCTCCAAGACAGCCCTGGAGACAATGTTGCTAAAACAGCTAAAATCAATAAAAGCACAAGCAGTATACATTTTACACAACCACAACAAGAACCAAAGAAGCATAGCCTCAGTGTTCTTCAATTTAGAGAAGGAACTTCTAGTAGTTCTTACAAAGAGAATATACTACTACAATACAAAGCTCGATTGGGTTTTATCAGATAGTATAAAAGAAGATTTTAGAAATCATACTGTAAGCAATAGAGGAGGTACAACAACTTGCCCAACTAATCAGAGAGAGAGTAATATAGTAGAAAGAAAGGAAACCCATATATCTTTACCAAAGCCAACGAAAACAAAACAAGCGGCAACTTGGTTTCATCTAGATGTCTAGTAGACAAGGAAAATAGAAACAAAGAAAACATAAAATCTAACTTCAGAAATAATATAGAGAGTGCAGATAAGAAGCAACAAACTCATGAAGATTCAGTTCACAGTATGCTGATACAAATCTTGGGCAGACTAGAAAAACTAGAAGACCAAAGTAGTTCATCTAAGACAGCACCTGCAAGAGCAGCTCTTGCGAATTGCTCCTAAGGAAAATAATGAACCCCTTTATGGAAAACAAGAAGGAAAAGAGAGAAGGTAAGGAAGAGTCCCCAGGTGAAGAAGTTGAGCAGGGGACAGTAAGCAAAGAGGATAGATATGAGCATTTTTGTATAATAAACATTGGGTTTTACAATATTAATAAGATAAAGGACAATAAAAACAAGCTAAATACAATCATAGATTATGCAGAAAAGAAAAAAAATAGACATACTTGGTTTAGAAGAAACAAATATTAGCAGCAAAGAGGGCTTTTTCACAGCAAAGGACAATAATTTATATATTAGTATATAGACAGACTTTGATAACAATAAGAAAAAAGAGTCTGGACTCGGGTTCTTATTAAGAAAAAATAGAAGCGTCATATTACATCTCAGATCAGAGACAATTCATACTTTTTGAGCCTGGTGTTAGACTTTAGAGGTATTACAGTCAAGGAATATACTATAAATATACAGTGCTAATAACACCATTTATGGTAATAGAATGCTAATCTAATGGTTCCAGAAATTTTTTTATGTCAATCCAAGAATGATTACTAACCAATCAAATTATCTGAATAGAAAAAAATTTTATTATTATACAAACTAGAATATTCCAAATCTTATTTACTTTTTTAATAGTTTATTTACTTTTTTAATAAGAGTTAACTAGAGTGGATTATTGTGGATTATTTAAACTACATGTTTTCTACTATCTATTAATGCTTTTATTTAGAAGTTTTAAGCAATAAATAAAACATGTAAAAAATTTTCTAAAACTGTTGGCAAAAAGTCGTACAAAAGCCAATCAAATCTATGCAGATCATTCTAGAACCGGATTTTCTAATTTGCCCCTATTTGCTATATTCCCTGACTGTATTACAATTAATATCATATATATATATATAGCTCCGAATGATAAGGCAGCACAGTAAGAAATATTACAAAAGCTCAAGTGCAGTATATGCCAACATAAAAGAAAGCTACAATATTATGTAGTATTAGGCGATCTGAATACAAATACAGAAGTATTTGCAAGTGACAACTCTGCGAGTACAAGCATAAAACATAAAACAAATCTCAAGAGAAGAATAATACAAGTGCTAGAGGAGAGGCAGTTTTTCGACGTTCAAGAATCTTTACAGACACCAATGTGGTCAAACAAAAGTACAGAAACTCGAATTGACTATATATAGGTATTGAACTTAGTGGAGATGCAATATAGTCAGCACCAAAGTAGATGATATATCAATTTGTACCAGGAGTGATTACAAACTCATATGAGCAAGCATTCTTACTAGCCTAGAGATAAGAAATGCAAAACCTGCAAACTGAAGACGCTTATACAGAAAAAGAGTAAATATTAATATAAGTGAGGCCTCTAAAGAAGAGTAGGAGGACTTCCAAAAAGCGCTTGACAAAAAATTAAAAGACTTATAGTGCAAATACAAGCCCAAAAACCTCAATGAGGAGTGGGATATTATAGAAAGTTGCATAAGAATAGCAGCAAACAAAAGCTTTCCAAAAGGAAAAAAAACTTCTAAGATCCAGCAAATTAGCAAGGAGGACAAAGAAATACATGCACTAAGACTAGCAATTAAAGCTTATTCTAAAGGTTATTACAAAAGTAAAAAAGACACATTGAGTATAGAGAAAAAGAAGATAGTTTTGAAGCAAATTAGATCAATTATAGATATAGGTTCATTAGACAAGCCAGATATTGTAAATATAGGAAATTTTAGAAACTGGGCCAAAGTTATATACAAGGAGTAGAGGCAAAAAATTAAAAAAGCAGAGGAAATATTAGTAAGAAACTGTATAGAGAAAAGACATGGCCTAATTATGTCTAATTAGAGGAAAATGCTAAATAGTCTTTTAAACTGCCCGAGCAAGAAAATAAAAATAGACAGGGTAGTTAAGGATATTGAAGAGGAATCTGAACTAATTTATAAGCTAAATGAGATCTTAAAAGAGGTCAGAAATCACTTTGTGAAGCAATTCTACAAGAAAAATATAATAAACCCAAATGAGCTACCCTCAAGATGGAAAAAGCAATATATCCCAAAGGAGGATATAGATGAGATCTGATTCGCAGATACCACAAACAAGGTTAGTGAAATAGAATGGAATATAGCTTTGGCACAAGTAAAAGCCAAGTTAGCTCCAGATATATCTGGTATCACCTACTCTTTAATTAAAAGAGTAGGAGAACATGCAAACTCTGTGTTTTACAATTTTGCCACAAAGTGTATTAAAAATGATATGATGCTAAAAAAATAGAAGCTTGGAATTTTGTATCCAATACTGAAAACAGAAGAATGGTGCTATAACCTAAACAATATACGCCCAATCTTGCTACTAGAGTTCTTTTAAAAAACAGTAGTAAGAATAGTAACGAACAGGCTAGCAAGAGTAATAGGGGAAAAAAAGATCCTAAAAGGCAGAAATTTTGCTGGCCTACCAGGAGAGGGCACTGTAGCACCTGTATATTTAATAAACTGCCTTTTAGAAAAAGCAAAAGAGAAAAAAAAAGAAATATGGTTGATGTTCCAAGATATGCAAAAAGCATACAACTCTGTAGGGCTTAAGATGCTTAAACTCACACTAGATAGAATCAAGATCCCAAAGACCATAGTCTGTTTTATAATCAATTTATATGAAAACTAGAAAATAGAAATCATTACAAATATAGATACAATGAAGAAATTTGTAGCTGGTAATGAAATAGATCAAGGGGAAGTGATATCTCTCTTGGTCTAGTGAATTTTTTATAACCCCTTGTTAGCAGAGCTACAAGAAAACCATAACTAAGAGTATGAATTGGAGACAAACTGGCCTATTTGCCTTAGTAAAAATACCACTATACGACAGAGTTTACAAGTCCTGGTGATTGCATATACCGATGATACCACCTATATTGCAGCCAATAAGCAAGAACTAGAAAAGTTACTAGAAATCACACAAGAATTTTACAAGCTTAATAATATAAAAATAAACAGTAAAAAGTCTGAGCTTTAATAGTGGGTGAAAAAAAAGAAAAGAATCTTAGATATATAGAAGTAGGGCCTACAAGAGACAAGATGATGGAAAAAAAAATAACTGAAACAGCAAGATTCTTAGGCATCTGGCTCTTAAAAAAATCCAATCAATACCATACAATCAAAACTGCAAAAAAGGAGATCAATGCAGTAATAAAAGTAATCTGCAAAAAAAGCATGACCTTAGCTTAATTAATATATATCAACAACAGAGTATTGATACCAAGACTAGAATATAGACTTCAGCATTATATATTTTCGAGAGATCAATGTAACAGACTGCAAAGCCCCTTAGTAAAGTTAATAAAAAACAAATTAGATCTGTCTAGCACAGCAAATGCAATTCTAACACACAGAAACATAGCTGGCCTAAAAACAATTTGGCAAAATCAAATACCTCATCATATAACAGAACTCCATAAACACATGCATTGTTAAAACAATACAGGCAAAGCAACATGAATCAGAATACAACAAGTGCAGATCGACTGCAAAAGTACCAAGTATATTTTGAAATTAGACCTGGCTAGATTAAAAAAAGTTAGGCTCAAACAGAATCTGGCTTACAAGATCATAACCAAAACAAAATGTTTAAATATAAGTATTAGATTAAAAGAAATGGAAAAAAGCCTTGAGCTTACAGAAAAAAGCACAGAGATATTAGACTTTTTCAAAGAAAGACAAATAAAAGGCTACATTCAAAAAAAAAGAAATGGAGCTTTATATTATAGAGCAGCTTCTTGATAATGAAGGTCTTAATCTACTAACATAGAAGCAGATCAAGAAATACAAAAGATTGAAAGCAGCTAGCAAAGTACTATTCTGGTTCGCAAAAATAGAAGATGCAGTTCTAATAGATAAAACTAGTCAAAGAGCTAAACCTACCTTTCGAACCCAGTATACAAACAATCTAAGCCCAAAAATAGCACCAGTTACTATAAGCACAGATAGAAGAAGGAAGGAGTGGATCTTGATGAAGACTAAAAACCAAATAGAGGTTGGTAAGATAATGGTAAAGAGAGTCAAAAGAACCTACACAATAGAGCACTGAGTACCAACAAATGATCAAGAGAACAATACGATTAAACTAAATAAGTGCAAGGGTTGCAAACAGAACAGTAGAAAAAACAAGACTCCTAAATCCTATTAGAAAAGCAAGTCAGTAAAAAACAAAGTGATAGCAATCAACTTCACACATAGAACCTAGGTGTTCTCCTAAGCTGCTTGGCAACCATATTTCCAAGTAGTTTAACAGATACAGCTCCAACACCTTCCGCACATAAAGTTGAAGTAACAAAAGTTGCTATATACTTTTTAGTGGTAGAAATAATCGAACAAGCAATTAAAAGTTCTCAAACAGCAGAGAAGCTAAAGAGTATCGCAGCACAGCTAAAAGGGCACAAAAAACTGGCTTTTTACACTAATAGCTCACTCACAAACCTAGATGAAAACCTAAATAGAAGAATAATAGGAATTGGCTAGATAGTTGCAATTGAAAACAAGAACAAAAAGCATGACCACTTTGTAGTGGAGTTTCAAAGTACAATAAGAGACTAGCTATCCTTGACAAGAGCTAAACTAGGAGCTATTTGGTCAGCCTTGCTAGTTGCCCTCTGCAAGACCTCGATCAGTATTTATACAGATAGTGCAGCTGCAATACAAGCAATACAAACAAACAAGAACAAAATCAAGCAAAGTGAGATAGTTAGAAAGAAGAATTTATGCCTACTAGAACAAATCTGAAGAACAATAGATTTAAAAGAACTAAAGGTTCGGCTCAACAAGGTCAAAGCACAAAGCGGTATACAAGATAATGAGAAGGCAGATAAATTGGCAAAAGAAGAAACACACAGTTAGGTAGTTCTGAATCTCAAGTGGCCCTGGAACAAGCAAGCCATAACCAAACTCAGATGGCAAAAAACAAGAGTAGATGATGCAACAAGAGGCTTTATCACAAGATTAATCAAATTTAGTATCAACACAGAATAGAAAAGACTGAAAAGTATAAACAGATAGGTGACAATAGAGGATAGCAACAAGACAATTGAATAGAAGAAGGTATAGAAAGATATAGACAAGGATAAAGGTAATATATGCAGAAGTGCAAAAAGACATAGAGATTAGATTTTTAAAATCAAGTGCTTGGGCAATCTGCTGCCAACAATACAAGTTTTACACCAGAGAAAAGTAAATATATATATAGACGATAAATGCAAGATATGCTACCAAGAAGCTGAAACACAAGAACATCTCACCGAATATCTTGAGTACCAATGATTGTAGAAAATTATAGAGAGAGAAAAAAGCAAGGTTATTGTTAAGAAAGCAGAAAAAGAGAAAGAAAAGCTCATGATAACAGAAATACAAAGGATTACAGAAATAATATTCGAAGAAGACCTACAAGAAAGAATTATGACTAGAATAAAAGGCCTCATAACAAAAGAGAGAATGAAAAGATTTAGCTCTCTGCTATACGAAGCGAAGAGGATTTCCAAGTTTCTTCAAGCTTTCATTAACAAAGTTAAAACGCAATTCCGAAGGCATATATGGAATTTCTGGTGTGAATTGGTGGCAGAGTAGGAAAAGAATAAAGAAATAACCAAGAAAGATGAAGAAAAAAAGAAAAGAGAATGAAAAAGATGACACCAAGAAAGAAAACATAGACCCACAGGCTAGTGAAGGAGAAACAAAAGCCAAGAAATCAAAATTAAAGTTAAAAGATACAAAACTCGAGGCAGCCAGGGCGAGAGAAAACCTAATCGAAGAATGGGTCTTGTGAAATAACAAACCAGTATGGTCTTCGCTAATTAGAATTAAATTCAATGTTTAAGCATTCTTGACACAGCAGACAACAGCCAACTGGTGACCAAAGAGGTATCATTATGATACAAAATCCTTAGAAAGTTAAGGGTCCTGAGGGAGATGAATTGTTGTTTTGGCAGGTTGCACTGAGCAAGGTGTTTGGTAAGTTTTTATTAGATTAGAATATTACACTATAAAGATTATATATATATGTATTTTAGTCATATAGTAGTTCAAATAAATAAAGGCAAGACTGCTTAAAAAAAAAAAAAAAAAGATTGAATATAATGTGTATATAATATATATGTATATACTTTTATTAGATATAACAAAAGATTGGGTACAATAAATAAATAAATAATTAGATACAATAAATAATCAAAAGTTTTTTTTAATTTTTGGTTTTAATTTTTTTTTTTTCTTAATCTCTTTTTTTTTTGTACTTTATAACTCAAAGTATTACAGTATTTATAATATTTATAGTGTTTATAGTAAATAAATTAAAGACAAACTATGGTATTAGAAATTTGAAGTAGTTTGAAATTAATTTAAGATAGAGTTAAGAAGATCTTGGATTTATATATAGTATAAAAAAAAAAACTGACTTTTTTATTCATTACGCTACAAACAAACAAAGAAAAAGAAACTACTTTGTCTTTGTGGCTTTTGTGTATATTTGTATATGTGTATGTACAAACATACATACATACGTATAAATGTATATACTTTTCAATTTGCACTTTAACAATCAGGTTGATAAATTAATCTAGAACTTTTAAGTTAAGTTTGCATCTTTTATTTCTTTTATTTATTATTATTATTTTTTTTTACTTTTATCTAAACTGACTTTAACCAAAATTGAAATTTCTTTGCATTTAGATAAATAAAATAAGAGTAAATGTGTATTAAATAAATTAGAAATAGCACTAAAAGTTTGAAGTTAAAGAAATTTGAGCCAATCAGATCATCTATTAAATAGTTAATTGATATAAAAGTGATGCAATAAATATGTAAAATAATAAAGTTTAATCGAGTATATCATATGCTAGGGCTATTTATTATGAAATCACGTGAATTGTTCTAAAAAGTGCTGCGGTAACAAAAAAGAAAGAGAATTTGCGGAAATAGGGTAATTTGCAGAAATAGGGTGATCTACCTTATATATATATTGGCGCTGAGCTGGTTTGATCGGTCTGAAGTTTGTGGTCCGGTCTGGTATGTTTTTTTATGGCTTGGCTTATTACAAATCTGCTCACATGATAGCTAAGCCATAAAAAAACATACCAAACTTCGGACCTCATAGAGGACATTCGTTTGATTGGCTATTGCTCTGGTAACTTATTAAAGTATTTTTTGGGAACACGTTTCAAAGCTATTTTTCGCATCAATAGTATGTCCATATTCACTATGCAAAAATAATCGGTAATAATCAATATTCCGAGAACTTTACTTACTGCTTATTGGGCTATGTCAAATTATACTGTAGAGTGAAGGTAACCAGAATGTTTTCGTCTAAATCTATTTTATTACGTTAGATTTAAACAAGTCTTTATATCTAACTGTTTAATTTGAATAGGTACAGGCTCTTTAGCAAGATCCGGGCTTAATATTTAAATTTGGTCGGTTTTTGTAGTGTTTTTGAGTTTGTCAACCATTAATTAATAGTTATAGATTCTTTAATAGTTTGGGTTTATTATATCTTATTTGCCCACTTTACACGTATTTATCTGTTCTCTACATATTAATAATAAATTTATTCGCGTGCATTTATTAGTTTGTAAGCTTCTTTATACGAAGTTTCTTTCGTTTTCTAATATGTATTCCCGGATAGTCTTTGTTATGAAAATAGGGATGGAATTGATAAAGATTATAATAAAGTATTTGAAAATTATGAAAAATCTGTTAATATGGGTAATGTTTAATGTTGCTCTATTGTATAGAAACGGTATCGGTACAAAGAGAGATATTCAGAAAGCAAATTATTGTTTTGGAAAACGTAGAAGTCTATTGAAAACTAATAAATAGCCAGATAATATTAATCCTGAACTTAAAAGAATATTAGATGATGAATGATTTAAATTATCTTGGATTAATTACACTAAGCTCACAATTATCCGAGAAATGGGAAGAGGGGAATTCGCAACTGTATATACGGCACGTTGGTGCGATATAATTAATAATGCATGGGAAAATGTTGCACTCGTGATTAAAACAAAAATGAACAAGAATTTATCCGGGAATTGAAGAATTACTGTGAAATTGGTTACAAGAATCCTACTGTTATGGAATATCAAGAAATGGTCGTGGTGACTGTATTATTATGCAGATTGCACCAGAAAATTCGTTACGACAAAATCTTGTAAAAGTGTCAAAATTGGAATGGAAAGATAAATTGAATAACTTACACTGTATAGCTGTGGATCTTGAATCAATTCATTCACAGGGACTCGTTCACAGAGATTTACATAGCGGAAACATTTTGCAAGAAAGGTTGCATATATCACAGATCTTGGGCTTTCTAATTTGTGGAATTCTGCCATATATAGCACCTGAGGCTTTAATGGGTCAAGCATATACTCAAGCATCAGATACTTACAGACCAGACAAAGAGTATTAGGATCAGATTGTTATATTGAATTAACTATGAAATGTATGGATAAAGATTTTGATAAACAACCTACAGCAACAGAAATTATTGAAATAATAACTCATTTGTTGAATGAAATATATCAAGATGATGATAATGAAATCAAAAAACAACTTTTGGAAGCTAATAAGACTAAGTTAGAACCGATTGATAACTACATTTAACAAAATTGTAACCCACCCTGTGGGTAACCCGGGTGATGCATACCCGGGTCCAACTATTATATTCGGACTCAGACCAGTCCGCAGACTTCGGACCAGACCCGGACCAAACTCAGACTTGACTAAAAAGTCTGAATATAAAAGTCTGAGTCCGGTCCGAAAATCAGACCAGACTCAGACTTGACTAAAGTCTGGTTCGGGTCTGGTCCGTAGGAGCACTACTTTCAAATAAAAAATGTTGATAAGTGATATAAATTTTTATTCCTTTATGAAATCTATTATAAAATCTACAAATAACAATGTTTATTACTTTGGCTATATTTTTTATTATTAATTAGTCGATTTAATACTTTAATGTATTCTTCAGTATTATAACTTTAAGCAAGATATCTCTACAAAACTCAGATATATTCTATAGATATGCAAAGTCAAAGTATCTTAAATTGAAATTGTTATAAATTCTTGACTCAAATTAAAAAAAAGCTAGTGTTGATGGTGACAAAAAAAAAACAAATCAAATTGAGACCCCAATAATCACATGTTAAATAAGAATCTTAAGAGTAATATAATAAAGCTTGGGAAATGATTACTACACAATTTTTATAGAATAATTCGTCAAATATGATTTAAAGATCAAATATTATCAACTAAAACATAATGAAGGGTATTAATCTCTATTCAATATCAAATTTAATAAAAAAACAAATTAAAAAAGTACTAAATAAGATAAGTGGTACTAGTTATAATAATAACTAGAATGTAATGTTCCAGTATTATGCATTGAAACATTTAAATAAACTAATTCGTCAAATATGATTTAAAGATCAAATATTATTAACTAAAACATATTGATATAAAAAAACAAATTAAAAAAGTATTAAATAAGATAAGTGGTACTAGTTATAATAATAACTGGAATGTAATGTTCCAGTACTATACAATATAGCACACATATTTCTATTGCGAATTAGCTTGCGTCGGTTTCGGTGTAAGATCTAATTATATTTCAAATGATTGATTAGAAAAATTTATTTGATGTATATTATTTAAACTATAAATATTCTATACTTACAATCTAAAAATTTAATTATATTTCATATGATTGATTAGAAAAATTTCATTTAATATATATTATTTAAACTTATAAATGTTTCTATGCTCACCGCCTAAAAATTTAAGTTATTATTAAAATTTTTAGTAAATTATTATAAATAATTTATAATATTTAACTAATTTAAAAGCATAAAAATTTTAATACTATTTAATAAACATAATTCTACATACAGTAAAACCTCCGTAAGTGCACTCTCTATAAGTGCACATCTTCTCTATCAAGCTCTGACACAAATATATACATGCCCCTATTTATGCACTTTCTCTTATTAATCTCTAAGTATACGTTGTTAAAGCTTGTGCACTTATAGAGGTTTTACTGTAATACCAATATATATATATAAATTTATTTATATATATATATATAAATTTATTTATTACGCTTTTCAAATTACTGCGCCAAGTGTTTTGCATATACTGAACAGTTGATAGTTGAATGCAGAAATTACACAATATATCTCAGATAAATTGCATGTGAAAAGGCATGCCCAATCTAAAGCAAGAATTTGCACAGATACTTTATTTTTCATAAATGACTATATACAGTAAGACCTCCCTAAGTGCATACACTATAAGTGCACGTCCTATTCTTTCTAAATGAACGGCATAGCTTAGCCCTAACTTATAAGAGCACTATGTATTCTGTTCTTTATAGATGCACACACTTTTTAAGTGCACATTTTGGTTGTTTTTTTTACTATGGTCCCGAGGGGGTGCACTTATGGAGGTCTTACTGTAGTTCTAGTAATTTTTATATTTATAACTTACATAAACTAAAATGTAACACATTAAATTTTGATAACTTACATAAAATGCCCAACTCTATATATCGCATAGCTTACAGCATTTGCCCAACGCATTTCTTTTGCTACAATTATACAGAATTCAATAAAAAAAATTTTTTATTAAAATTTTAAATGGTCATTGAAAAATTTTGTTCATGGTTAAAGAAAATCTTTTCTGTATATAAAATTTTTCATAGAACTTCATCCAAAATTTAAAATAAAATCTACTATTTATAAGTGATAAAGATAATCTCTAACTTTGGTGAAGTTTTCTTGATGACAATTTTTATAATTTTAATAAAAAAAATTTTATATAAACTTTAAGTTGTTGTCAAGAAATTTTGAGAACGGTATAAAAAAAATTATAATTTTAACTTAATACATGAATCAGATGATTAAAATTTATGGTTTTTACGCAAAGCAAGTACGTGTACGTATATTTTTATGTTGTATGTAGGGATTGGAATCGGTTTAGTCGACTAAAAAATTTTCATAGCAAGCTACTATGTTTAGTCGACTAATTAGTCGACTAAACATAGTAGTCGACTAAACTGATTCCAATCCCTAGTTGTATGTATACTATACCGTAAAATCAGAAAAGGTAAGATCTACGATCCTGCAGACTAAAGGTCGCATCGTAAAAGGTATTCTTTGGCACTATACCTTAACTAGGAAAAAAGATATATTCTTAATTACTTTCCATCATAGAAAAAAACAATTAGTAATAAATGCATAATGTAAGTTGTACATTAAATTATTTTAATTCCGCTAACGCTAATACCTAACTAATTTCCCCTACACATCTGACTGGTTCTATTAATTATTCACATATCTGGGCTATATATCAACCAATTTTATAGTATTCTGATAGTTTAAAATTAGTGAACCCTACTAACATAGATCATCGAATAAACTTCATATTTAAATTCTGATACCAATATGACGCAAATTTTAATCTGGTATAACATATGCATATACAAATGTTCGATTGTGTTTCACAAATAAAAATAAAATATAATATAATAAAATGAAACAAATAACTTTGGTTAAAGAATAACTAAAATGGTTGCGATGAATCTGAAACTTCAACAGGCCTTGAAAGTTATGAAACCTTCATAATCGGTCTTTTAACTGATAATAGTCGATTTTCTGAAGAAACAAGAAATATTTCAAGGAATATATTAAAGCTAATGTCAAGCAATTAAAAGAAAGAGTAATAATTGTATAAGTTATGTCGACAGATCTAGAATGTTGTAATAATAATCTAACTAAATTACTTTGAGAGAATACACAATTTTGCAATGTAATAAAAAAAATTTTTTTAGAAGTGTCCTTAAAATGGGTTGAGCAACTAGAAGCTGGGGAAGTGCACATTAAAACAAATGTAAAGGAAATAAGAGGCACCACATTATCTATCTTGTCTGGCCCTGAAGGTCATTATAATAATACAATTAGATTGTTATCTGAAAATAGACAACATCCTGAAGAAACAAAAGATCGTATAAAAGAACTTTTAAGGGAGAATGCAAAATTAAAATGCTTCATGAATGAGATATTTTCACTCAAACTAGCCATTTCAACAGATCCTGAAAATTTAAAAAATAATGTAATAAAATTATTAGTTGAGAATAAACAATTTACTAAAGATGATGAAAATTATTATGAGAAAGTGATTAATATTATGGTCTCCGCAATGAAGTTGTCATCAGATCTTGAAAATTATAAATATAAATTATTTAAATTCTTATCTGGGAATAAACAATTCTTTAAAGACAAAAATATTATTAAACTAGTATTTAGTAATGGTTTAAACCAATCTAATGAAATAATAATAACAATTGTAAAAGATATACCATCAGAACACGACATTTATAATAACAATATAATTGAACTGTTTTTTAAAAGTATTAAATTTTCTAACACTGAAAAAAACCTCTTTCGGAATGGATTTAAAAATTATTTTAATTATCAATATATAGGTATCACAAATGCAATGATATATTATAAATTTGCAATACCATCAGATTTAAATTTTTATAAGAACAAAGTTGGAATATTATACAATCTACAGAATACAAAAAAAATATTTTAAATCAACAGATTCAAATTAAACATGAGCAATTTATGATGATGTTTGAAAAATATTTAACCTTTGCAAATAAGAAATCTAAAGAAATTACACTCATTGAAGTATTAGAAAATTTTTTAAAAGTACTATCTGAAAATGAAGAATTTTCTGCTGAAGAAAAAACCTCATTCAAAAAATCATAAATATATATTTGAAACAATATGTGCGCTCTATCGAATTGGTATGGAAATAAAGTGTTCAGAATGTAATTTAATCAAATATTCAAAATATTGTGAAAATTGTTTAGGAGAACATTTAAAAGCAATTCAATAAATGGTCATCAGGAAATAAGATTATTTATAATTTTATACAATGATATCAACTAAATAATCCTATTCCATGACATATATTAGAGTGGATTCCTTACAATGAATTTGAAGTAATCAAACTTTGTGCTAAAGGTGGATTTTCAAATATATATAAAGCTATATATAAAAAAGGAATAATAATTGACTGGGATAATAATAAAAAGAATTTATTCGCCTTTCTTCACCTGTTGTATTAAAAACTTTAAATAATTCTGCTTAGATTAGTGAAAGGTTATTAAAAGAGGTAATTAATAACATAATTAATAATACTTAGCCCATCAATTTTTGGCTTTTATTTATCTGTTATTGATAAAATAATTTTTTATTTATTTAGGTTGAAAATTGTCATAAAATTAGAGCTTACAATGTTAATGTTTGCAGAGGTATAACTAGGGATCCAAAAAATAATAATTACATGATAGTATTAGATTATGTACCAGAAAGAAATTTAAGAGAATTTTTAAAGGAAAATCGATTGAAATTTCCTTAAAAATTAAGTTTCGAATGATCTACTCTTTAGTTATTTCATTACTTCATATACATATTCATGAACTAGTACATAAAGATTTGCATAGCGGCAATGTGTTATTACCTGAATTTTATTTCTGTATTATCAGTGATTTAGGTTTAAGTGGACCAGTTGATGATGAAATATTGAATAAGGTTTATGGGATTGTTCCATATATAGCACCCGAAGTATTTAATGGAAAGAAAAAAACTCAAGAATCAGATATCTATAGTGTTGGAATATTAATTTGGGAAATATTTGCAGAATATCCTCCGTTTAATGATATCCCACATGATACAAATTTAATTATTGAAATCATAAATGGAAAAAGACCTCCATTCTTATTAAATATACCCAAATCAGTTCAAAGTTTAATTCAAAATTGTTGGGATGGTAATCCTTTTAAAAGGCCATATATTACAGAAGTGGTTGAAACTTTAAGTAATGAGTATGTAAAAATAAATACTGATAATCAGTATTTTAATAAGTTAAATGTATTAAATTTGCAAGCTATTAATATCATTCCTGAAAAACATTCACAAGCTTATTATATAAGTAGAATTTTATCTTCTGATACAGTACATAAAATTTTGGCATTCTAATACTCTGGTTGCAGTTAAAAATAAATATTATGTTATTAATTCAAGTTTTACTGAACAAGATATATATCTTTTAAACTTGCACTGCAACCATTTTCCATCGGTGCTGAACAATGTGCTTATTTCGCACTTCATAAAATCCTTGAACGAACTAATAAATTAGTGGGGAAAAAAATGTGATGTATTAGATTTTTTTTCCTGAGATGTTACTGTTACTTCAAAACTATAATTTATTATTACTGTATTATTATATTATTTACTCTCATTTTTTTAAAAATAATAAATGAATTTGTAAAAACTCTTTCCAATGATCATTTTGACCAACCCTCCCAATGAAAAGAAATAGAAGTTTGCTGGAGTTGGAGCTGAAGTAGACGCATATTAACGGTTTTTATAGAGGTTAACCAAGTTGTCTTGCTTTTTCTTTTGGCTTGGAGACTTCTCTATATCTTTATCATGCAAGTTAGAAGTGTTCTTGTACAAGATAACTGGCAGGAGGGTGCGCTCTTGTGCAAAAAATTCTAATGGAAGAGGTCTCTCACTTTCGATAATGAAGTTACATATGCACATGACTTACTTGGAGAACAGCAGACAACTGTTTTAAAGAAGCCTCACACTCTTTTATGGGCCAAGTGGTTTCTTCCCTTCTTTCTCGTTTCCTCTCTAGTCTTCCAAAATTTTTTCATAAAAAGTGGGGATTTGGTTTACCCCCTACAAAAGATCAGCATTGTTTATTTCAAAATTCGGTCAGACTGGTAGATAGCAACACATATACAGAAATAGATATGCCATTCAAGTTCTGGAATGGGTCCTGGTAAAAAGAAATTTCTAAGTGGGGCCAGAGATGTCGATGGCAGACATCTGATATGAGATGTGGCTTAGATTTATAGCCATAGCTGAATGATAGACCGGAGAGAAGTTATATGTTAAGGCTTAGTCTTACAATTGAGATATACAGATGTTGTATCTGGTATATAATTTTTATTTTTACCTATAATAGTGTGTGTTAGGATTTTTTTCTTTTTTGTTGCTTTTTCATCTTCTTTCCTTTATAATCGAATAGCATTTATAGTTTTTTTTTTTTTTCCTTTCTTTTTGTTTTTGTTTTTGTTTTTTTTTTTTTTCTGTTTTGTTTTCTTTCTCTGAATTTGTTTCATTCTTTTGTAAATATAGTTTTTGGTTTTTCGTCTTGTGCAAAAATAAGGGTCAAACTTTTTGCCAGATTTAGGTGGGAAAAGTTTATAAAAGAGAAAAGAATCCTGACATGGTATACAACAACCTGTCCATGATCTTGGGGGGTATCTTGTCATACCGAAATTTCGAGGAAGTTCAGAATCCCTAAGTAGACTAATAGTTGTTATAGCAGGTCACATTGGGCAGTTCTTGCTTGGTGAGTTTTACTAGACTAGAGCAAAATGCATTAAAGAATATGTACTTGAGAGTATTAAATTTACATCATTGCTCATGGTAAATAAAGACAGGATTGCTTAAAAAAATAAAAAATAAAAAAAATAAATTTATATGGTGTTTAAATAGTGCTAAGTGCTTTTTCAAAATATAATTTAATTTATATGTATCACCTCATTATTTGTTCAGTAACTCAAGCCACATTAATAGCTTATAAAACTAATATAGATGAATTCTAGATAAAGCTGTGTCAATAAGAGTATGAATTTTAAAATAGATCATATCTTTAAGGAAAAAAAATATAATGAATAGTTACTGGCTGACTGAAATATTTGATAAAATATAAGGTAGTACTTTCATGTAATGAAAAAAAGATGTATATGTTGTATGACGAAATAGAATTATTGTGGATTTAGAATCCATTTAGGTTAGACCGGAATTTCAAATGCAACCCAAGTTGATATGAAATACAAAAGAAACCTAAGTTGATTTTAAATTTGATACCACAATAAATATGTAATTTTTGACAAAATAATTATATTTCATAATAAATTGTTAAATACATTATTTTGCTATTTGAAAACACTTTATCCAATAACCAAATTTCAAGATTATATATTTTTGTCTCATAATGTATTTGAAGAAATGCTGTTCAAATATTTTAGCAGAAAATCGACTAATAGTTAATTTTTAAATAGATCCAGTAAACACAAGAAACCAATTGAAAGACACTTCTTTCGCGAGATCTATAAATACTACACATTGCTTGAATATAAATCCGGCATTATGACACAATTCACTAACTCTTCCCGACGATTACTTGTACCAAATTTTGCTAAAACAAAACTCAAGTTTTTTCAAAACCGTGCTTTTTATCAGACTCTTTTAATTAACT